CTTGCCGAGGGCGCGAAAACACTGACGGGGGCCATTTCGGGTCCTCCCGCGCCCATTTTGGAGCCGCCGATCAGCTGATCGGCGGCTCCAAAATGGCCGCGGGACGCCCAATCGTCGCAAAGCGAGGTGCGGCGATTGGGCGCTCCGTATAGCGATCCAGAAAAAGGGGATCGCTATACGGATTCGTCGTTGTACGGTGCACTCGCTAAGCGAGGCATCACTGTAGAAGTACAGTAATTTACAATACACAAGAAAGTGCCACCCCAGAGTTAAAGGCCTGGGAAGATAAAGGAGCTCCACTCCCTCCCTCTAAACAAGCTGCTGAGACAGGCACTGCACAGACCAAGGTCTCTGCGCACCTGTAACGGCCCTTCCCCACCCCCCGTCCACCTGCCTCTCTTCAGGCAATAGGGAGCCAGCTGCAGGAGGTGTGTTGAGTAACATCACAGATGTACGAGAAGACATTTCTGCAGGCATTCAAGACCCAAGGAATGCATGTGGTTTTCAAAGGAAGCACTTGGAATCGTGCTCAGCGTTGATCCCTAGAAGCCAGTGGTGCTTCTCACGATCTGCTACGGAGAGGTGCTTCTGGCACCTGGCCTCAGCAGGATGGCAGGCCCAGTGCTTAGGACGTGTGGTTCCCCAGTGGTCGTTAAAGACAGCCCTTTGGGCAAGAGATCCTAGTCCTCTGGCCGGGGACCCACTTGGGCTGGTCTTGGATAGGAGTGCACCTCGTTCCAGAACAGGGTGGGCATGGGCCCAACTGCTCTGCTGACAGGGTGTTGGGCCAGTAAGATGTCGAATAGCCAGCCCCATGGTTGCCGGAGAAGCCTATGTGTGTGGCCCACTGTCTCAGAAACCTGGGCATTTTCAACAACGAGCACTAGGAAGAGTGAGAAAAGCCTGCCCAGGCTTCTTTCTGATATAGCTACCTCTGCCTTCCTTACCTGTAGAGTGACCAAGTGCCGGTGGGGAACCTGCCACGCTCCATGAACGTCAGTGTGCAAGGGGAGAACACACGCCTCGTGCAGCCGGGCGACCATGTCAGCATCACAGGCATCTTTCTCCCTGTGCGACAGACAGGCTTCCGTCAGCTCCTGCAGGTGGGAAGAGCAACGGTGGGGTGGGGTGGGGGGGTTTCTGGGGGTGACAGTGCTGAGTCTCTGAACTGAGCCTGTGGCTTGCCTTGTTCCAACAGGGCCTGCTCTCAGATACATTCCTGGAAGCCCATCATATTGTCTGCATGAGCAAGAGTGAGCAGGAGGAGCTGGGGGAAGGGGGGATCAGTGAGGAGGAGCTGCGCCAGATCACAGGTGAGGGCGGAGGTTCTCCCTGCGCTTTCCCCGCCTTCCCACCCAAAACATTCGGCCTTCTTTCAACTCCTTTTTTTTGGTTCCATCTTATGGCCGAATTTTGGGAACTGCTTGCCGGCAATACACTCTGTACAGAAGCGTACCCATCTGTTTTCTTCCAGAGGAAGATTTCTACGACAAGCTAGCAGCTTCCATTGCCCCGGAGATCTATGGTCATGAGGATGTGAAGAAGGCGCTGCTACTGCTGCTGGTGGGGGGAGTGGACCAGAACCCCAGGGGCATGAAGATTCGGGGTGAGTCCCAGAACTGGGAGAAGTCCCGTAGAGATGCTTGTAGCCACATCTGGCCCCCATTTCGCTGCTCTCGGAGGCCTGTTTGCCACTCTGCCCCACCTCAGGGCGACCCTGGTTCTGGACTGGGCTCTAAGATTCCCCTGCAGGAAGGACAGGTGCCTTTGGGCAGGGCATGGAGGTGCTCTGTTCGTTTATTGGTTATTGTCATTTCTATGCTCTTTGTCTCTCTGAAGAGACTGAGAACAGCACACACAGCACAAACGCGATTCATGCACAGGACACGCTACAATAAAATATGTGGATGATGAAATGCACAGGGCCTAATAACCACAGCCTGGACAATTTTACTGTATGTGCACTGATAGATAACAGCCCTTTAAAGCCCCTCCAAAGGCATTCCTCCTTCCCTCCTTTCGTGAATCCCTGCAGGGATGTTGTTCTTTGCATGGAATTGGGAAGAGAGTTCCCGAGCACAGTAGAATCTTTTTCAAATGCCTTCGAGACAGACTGCTGTGGCCATTTAGGCATCTTTAGGAGGGCCTGTTTAATGATTTCAGTTGGAACGGCAGCTCCTATGAGTTGCTGCGATGGTGGAATTAAGTGCCGGGCAGAAATCACCAGGCCCTTGTCTTGGTTTCCACCCCTTTCAGGGAACATCAACATTTGCCTCATGGGGGACCCTGGAGTGGCCAAGTCCCAGCTGCTCTCCTACATCACCCGGCTGGCTCCACGCAGTGAGTAGGAACTAGCACAGGGGAGGCCGCGGAGAGGCCGGGCTCCAGATGCTGACCTGCAGCTCCCACAGGCTCGTTGGCTGTGGCGCTCGAGCAGCCAAGAGTGGCCCATTTGGGCACGGACCTGCTTCCCTGCCCCAAGACTGCAGCTGTTCTCCTGTGGATGCAGAGAATGGGGGTTCCACTCCTTTTGGATTAGATGCCTGAGCACTAGGTCCATGGTTTGAATTTAAAAGAAAGAAAGAAAAAAAAAAGCTCATCAGAAGCCTGAGGGCGCATCCGGTATATGCAGAGGTAGCAGCCTGTCGCCCACACCTGCCTGGAAGGCTAAGGACTGCTTTGCCCACCCAAAAAACCTGGGGTCCGACGCCTCTTTTGTGTAACCTCCCACCGCCAGCCCTTTGCTCCTCTTTTTCTTTGGCCTTGGCCTTGGCCTTGGCCCTCGTCTTGGGGTGGGGTGGGGTGTTTGGAGCCTATATGGGCAGCTTCCACTTAAACAGGGTTTCCATGGTAATCCCTCCCACTTTCCCCTGCAGGCCAGTACACGACGGGGCGTGGCTCATCCGGTGTGGGGCTGACAGCTGCTGTGCTGCGTGACCCACTGACGGGAGAACTGACCTTGGAGGGAGGGGCCCTGGTGCTGGCAGACCAGGGTGTTTGCTGCATTGACGAGTTTGACAAAATGCTGGAGTCGGATCGCACAGCCATCCATGAGGTCATGGAGCAGCAGACCCTCTCCATTGCCAAGGCAGGCATCCTGACCACCTTGAATGCTCGCTGTGCCATCTTGGCAGCTGCCAACCCTGCCTATGGGCGCTACAACCCCAAGCGGAGTCTGGAGCAGAACATCCAGCTCCCAGCTGCCCTGCTCTCCCGCTTTGACTTGCTCTGGCTGATCCAGGACCGCCCTGATCGGGACAACGACCTCCGGTAAGCTGGGAGATGACCGGGAGCCCTCTGGGCAGGCAAGCCCTCCTGTGGAGGGAGGGATGGGGGTCTTGAGCCCTCTCCCTTGCAGCTGCTGTTTCTCCTGTTCTTAGTGAGGAATTGTGCTTCTCTCTCTCCCCCCCCTTCCTCCTTCTCCCCCGCCCCAGTCTGGCACAGCACATCACGTATGTCCATCAGCACAGCCGGCAGCCCCCTTGCCACTTCCAGCAGCTGGACATGGGCCTTATGAGGTGAGTGAGCAAGCACCAGGGCTCAACAGAGTGCCTGGCCTACGTTTTTGAGGATGGGGGGGAGCAGGCTCTCCCCCCCCCATTCTTAGACGAACAGAATGCCATGTCATACATGAGCCTCGTGGCGCAGTGGTTAAAACGCTGTACTGCAGCTAAAGCTGTGCTCACGACCTGGGATTCAAATCCCAGGTAGCTGGCTCAAGGTTGACTTAGCCTTCTTCCGAGGTCGGTAAAATGAGTACCCAGCTTGCTGGGGCGGGGGGCAATGTGTAGCCTGTATAATTAAATTGTAAACCGCCCGGAGAGTGCTTGTAGCGCTATGGGGCGGTATATAAGTCCAAAAATAAATAAATAAATAAATCTCCTGAACATAGCTGGAAGGAGCTCCTTGCGACAGGGCTGTAGAAGACCCTGTCATGGGGCATACATCCAAAAACACAGCTCAGCCTCCCCCCTCCCCCCCCAATTCTCTTGGCAGACGATACATTGCCCTGTGTAAGCAGAGCCAGCCAGCTGTGCCAGAGTCACTGGCAGATTACATCACAGCCGCCTACGTGGAGATGCGGAAGGAAGCCTGGGCCAGCAAGGACACCACCTACACCTCGGCTCGCACGCTGCTGGGGATTCTGCGCCTGGCCACTGCCCTGGTGAGCGGGGGGGGGGGGCTGGAAGGCCTCTAGGACAGCTGGAGTCGGCCTTGTGCTTGTTCTGAGGATGACCTTTGGCTGCAGTGGCAGCTTGGAAACATTGGGGACAGGCTGTGTGGTGAAGGCCTCGGACAGAGGGCTCAACGCCATTAGCAGGGCAGTATTGTGGCAGCTGCTCTGTATCAACAGGAAAGCCAAACTTGCAAAGTCAGTAGTGGAGGGTGCGCTGCCTTTGCCCACAGCCTCGGGCCCAGTTCGTGTGACCCCCCCCCCTTGAAGGTCATTTTGCCAACCTCTGTTCAACTGAGTACTCACATGCTGCTTATTTATTTATTGGCTTTCTAACTTTCTCAAATGTTCTTCCAGCTTAAGAGGTCGTTATAAGACATGAAATCGCCAACCTTTCTCATTTCACTGCTGCTCAGCCCAACCTCACCTGGCTTGTGGCATAACCAGGTTCTCCACTGGATGAGGGGGGCTGTCAGCTGAAGCATCAGAAAAGTTGGATGTTTTTTTTCTCATTCTCAATAGCAGATCTCAATAGCTTACAGTTTTTAATGTACCGTATTTTTCATTGTATACAACCCCCCCCAATGTATTAGATGTTTAGTTAACGGGCCACTGCTCCTCCACCTCCATCTCTCCTGCTGCTGCCCGCCCAGTCACCTCCTCCAGTGGGACTGCTTTGCCTTTGCCTCCGCCGCCGAAGGGGACAAGGCGGACATGAGCTGGAGGCGAGCCCCGTCCGTCCCTCTGGAGGAGGTGATTGGGTGGGCGGGGGAGGCGGCAGCAAGAGGCGCCTGAGTGCACATGAATGCTCCTTTGCCTCTGCCTCCTGCTGCTGCCTCTGCCACCGGAGGGGACAAGCCATGAGCCCTGTAGGACGCAATTGGGCGGCAGTGGCGGCGGCAGCAAGAGGCGCCCGAGCGGACATGTCACTGCTCCTTTGCCTCTGCCTCCTTCCGTGCATAAAATGACCCTCAATTTGTCCTCTGATTATTTTAAGAAAAAGGGTTTTATACATGGAAAAATACAGTAGTTCTGCCTTGAGGGATCTTGGTTCCTAAACAATGTTTCAGCTGATAGACTGTGCATAAAGCCCATACCTTTGTGTTTGGCACTATCTGGGCAGACTATGGGAAAGGAATTTCTGCTCCTCCTGATGCTGATTGAGAGGAAGAGCTGTTTTTATCATCCATTACTCCAAAATGGCCCCATAAACAATTTCTTCATTCAAAGGCACACACATTAGCTTTGCAGTCTTTCTCTTAAAAGCGGCCTGAGAAAAGTTTTTTATGTCTCTAATAAAACAGTTGTGAGTCTTTAGTGTTGGTTATTTCTCCAGAGAAGAGTGTTCTAAGCTTTGTAATTACTTAACTGTTCATAAACAATTCTACAGTTTAAAAAAATTCCAACGTAGTTTATGGTCATTAAAAATGCGATCCCAAAGAAAGAGAGGATGGAATTACCATACTTAAAATGGCAGAGTAATTCTACTGATAGTCTGTAGGTATTTTAAGCCATTTTATTTGCTTACTGAAAGTCAGGGTCAGGAAAGGTGGTATCCAGTAATCCACTTCCAATTTCAAAGCTTTGGAGGAGGTGGCAGAAGGTTGGCCTACCTGAGGGCCAGAAAGTGATGCGCAGGCGGTTGTTGAGGAATGATGCTGTACCTCTCTCAAGGCCAGGAACCTTACCAGGGCAGGGTGCTGAAGATGGATATCTCGGGTCCAAGATTCCTCCTGCACCAGCTGCAGGCCCTGGCTGAATGGGGAATGATCTCTACAAGCCCCAGGGGATTTCAGCTGAATTTGCAAGGGCTGAGGCTGGGTGCTAGTGGGGCAGGATTGTGCCGGGAAGCGCAGGGGTGCAGCTTTGATCCTCTCTCTCATTTAGGCTCGGCTGAGGCGCGTGGATATGGTGGAGAAGGAAGACGTCAATGAGGCCATGCGCCTTATGGAGATGTCTAAGGACTCTCTCTTGGCAGACAAGGGACAACCAAGCAGGTGAGAAAAGCCAGGGAGGGTGTGTGTGTGTTTTCCTCTCTGCTGTCTCCCCAACCCAATTCTGTTGTGAGCACTGGCAGTCTCTTGCCAGCTGGAGAGATTTGGCTGAACCTTTCTTTCTTTCCCTGACCCCACCTCCACCTGCCAGGGCCCAGCGTCCCTCCGAGCTGATCTTTGCAGCCATCCGAGAACTGGTTCCCACCGGGGGAGCACGTTCTGTCCCCCTCTCCGAGGCCGAGCAGCGCTGCGTGTCGAAGGGCTTCACTCCAGCCCAGTTCCAGGCTGCTCTCAGCGAGTACGAGGAGCTCAACGTCTGGCAGGTGAATCAGAAGAGGAGCCGTCTCACTTTTGTGTGACCCATGCCGACCTGGGGGCGCTAGAAGAGGGGGCGGGGCGGGGTCATGTCCCACAGCACTTTCCAAGCCGGATTTTGCGCACTGCCTCCTGCTCTCCCCTCTTGGTAGTTTTTGGTATGTTTTTTCCTTCAATAAAGTCATTTATCTCTTAAAAGAGCTGGTGCTTCTTTCAAGGACAACAGAGAAAGATGCTGTGAGATGTCAGTGTAGGATGCTGCCTCATAGAAAGGCTGTGCCATGTGGCATGCTTGGCCTCCCTCTCATTTGGTAAATCCAAGGCTCCTGGTCTGCCTCTGTGGGGACAAGTCAGGGTCATAAGGACGCACAGTGCTGCTCTTCCCAGGTAGTCATCTTTGTAGTGCGGAAGAGGAGGCACAGATGTGTTGGGAGCCACTTCCATAGCTAATGGGTCTAGACTGTGGGTGGTCTGAAGGGGGGATCTGTGTAGTTTTTGACTGGAAACTTCACTCAAGGGAGGGGAGTGCAGCAGAGTGCAGGGTGGAAGGAAAGCAGCCACAAAGGATGACTTACACAAAGCACAAATCTATATTGGCCGGAATCTTGCTGGCTTTCTCGGAACAATTGTGTAACTTGTCACAATTAATTGCAGCTCGTTGAGGAAGTGCCAGGGCCCATCATTTGCTCAGCCAGGTGCACAGCCGCACATGCTCTAGCACCTCATGAGTTGGTTGCAATGAACCACAACAAATTAAACAAACTTCATGCTAGCAGCAGTTGGATTCTGGCCACTGGGTATTGGAGCAAAGTTGATTCTGGCCACTACTTGAATACTCACTTGCCTTGAAAGCCCTATTTCTGGGTACTTACATCTCAGAGGACCTCTCATGGACTATAAATGCCAACATGCTAATAAAGAAGGCACAGAAGAGGCTGTATTTCCTGAGAATGCTCGGGAAGTTAAATTTATCACAGCATTTACTTCTGTCCTACTATGGTAGCACCATTGAGAGTGTCCTAACCTATGGCATTCTGGCATGGTTTGGGAGTAGCTCTGTAGCGGACAAAAAAGCTCTACAGAGAACCATTAAAATTGCCCAGAATATCATCGGGCTCCAGCCACCAACCCTGGATGACATCTTCACATCCCGCTGTCTGAGGAAGTCACACAGCATCCTGAGAGACTCTTCCCATCCTGCTTATAACTTTTTTGAACTGTTACCGTTTGGCAGAAGATATAGAACAATTAAGACTCGGACCACACGTTTTCTAAATAGTTTTTATCCTAGAGCTATAATTGCAATTAATAATGAGCTTAAAGACCACCAGTAGTGAATAATTAGTTGGACTGTGTTACTTGGCCTGAGGTGTAGATGTTTGTATTTTTAGTGGGGGACTTCTAGTGGGTGGGGAGTGTTTGGGGAATGTTAATGTGTGTGCATGTGTCTGGTCTCTGGGTGTCTGTTTATTTCGTTGTATGGGTATACTGTGTATATACTTACAATGACAATAAATTATATTATTATTATTATTAAGGGTTTCTCTAAATCAGGTCTGACATGGTAACTAACTAGTAGCAGTCTGATTCTCTTGGTTCAGTTGAAGCCTCCTTTCCCAAGACCACAGAGGAGCTGTAAAATTATGAATATGATTCCGATGGCCTCGTCTAACAGCCTTCATCATCATCTCATGCTCATGTAGCTTAGCTTCAAGGAGCAAAAATGATCTCAACAGGCCAGGTAGTGCACCAAGCAGAAACCCAAAACATCTGTCTTGCAGGCAGTAAATTATACTTGTGATGTATGTGCAAGACACTAGCCAATACCCCCCCCGCCATGTCCCACGAGCTTTTTGCTTTTGTTGCTGCTCTGTTGGCCTACGAGAAGCTGGATTAAAAGTCTGTACAGTACTTGCAGTAAAACCAACCTCAAATATGTGCAGATGTTTGAGTTCTCCAGAATGCAAAATCCAGGCTGCATGGCAATAAAAATGAGAACTGAGGAAAAGCAGAGTGGGAAATTTGGCCATATGTGCCCATGAGAACTCAGGCTGAAGCTGGAGATTTCAGGCTAAAGGAATCCCTGGTAGCCATGCACGTGTGAGATCATAACAATGTGTCTGTAGCGGGCACGCTGAAGCCTCTACCAACTCAGGCCTCCAGGAGTGCTCACTCTTCAGTTGCTGCCACCAATTTCATCAAATTTTTTTTTAAAAAAATATACAAGTGTTGTTTCAAAACAAAAACTTGTTTATTGGTTTAACAAAATAGAGTAAGTAAATCACAAGATGTTAAGGTCTTTCACTCACTGACACACACAGACTCTTCCCTCACTGACTATTTGGCTCACAGGCCCATAGACACACTCATCACTCACTCTCCCAAAATCTCTCTCTCTCTCTTTTACCTCATACACCCATTTATATATTCCAGTTCCTCCCCCTTCTGCACCACCTTCCGTCCCCTCATTGGCTGATGTTCCACTGCCCAGCTGTGACAGACAGGTGAGGGCAGCGCTGAATGCTACAGTGGCCTGCAAAAAACTGGTCTTGCTGTTTTTGTTTCAGCTGAATCTTTGTCTGCCATTGCTTGTAGCAATCTTTACTGTTAACAGGCATCAGCTGGTCTGCTGAAAATGCTGCAAAATTTATATGGCTGCTTTGCCATGGAGGTTCTTCCTTGTGGGTTTGCAAAGATATCTTTACCAATCTTTCCCACTGCAAAGGAAGCCAAGTATCTTGTTGTTTAGGCATTAAGTTGTGTCCGACTCTTCGTGACCCCATGGATAAGAGCATGCCAGGCCCTCCTGTCTTCCACTGCCTCCCGGAGTTTGGTCAAATTCATGTTGGTCACTTCGGTGACCCTGTCCATCCATCTCGTCCCCTGTCATCCCCTTCTCCTCTTGCCTTCACACTTTCCCAACATCAGGGTCTTTTCCAGGGAGTCTTCTCTTGGGTATGGCTATTTACCCCTTACCTGCTGTGTAAGAGGGTAGTCTAGTGTAGTTAAGGTTCTCATGCAACAAAGTAGGTTTCTGAACAAAGACCTTCACCATATATAGAGAGAAATGCCCAGTATTCAATGGCGTCTGTAAAAGAGCCACTAGACATATCACAAATTTAAATTGGCTACTGAAGCATAATAGTATTTCAGAAGATTTTCAGTCTGTGCTCTATTTGTTGTTGTTTAGTTATTAAGTCGTGTCCGACTGTTTGTGACCCCATGGACCAGAGCACGCAACGCCTCTGCTTTATAGATCAGGGGAAAGTTTTTTACTTGATAATGAGACACAAGGAATTACTTTAAAACAAACAGATGTGCCCAACACTTGATGTTCATGTATGTTAATCGCATAACAGGAAGATCTTCACCTATCTAAAAGTATACTGTCATCAATTTATTGTTAACTGGAGGAATTTTATAGAACAGGGTTTTTCAATTGAAAAAAATCACTGGCCAAGAGACATGATCTACAAACACAATCAAGTGTTTGAAAGTTCTCTTGAGCAAAATTTACCCACAAAGAAAGGGGCTGAACAAGCTAGCAGTTTTTTTTTTAATGTAGACCCTGTTAATTTAAAGTGGCAAGGAAAGTGGTTTCAAGACCTACTTCTGCACTGTTTATTCATGCCATGTCCTAGTGGAAGTAATTAGCACAGGAATTTGAAATAAATATTTTGGTTCATATAATTCTCCAGAACCAATGTACCAAGCTGCCTGGATAGCTCAGTAAGTGCGCCAGTTTCCCCATCATGCATCCCAGAACCAGGCTGTGTGGCCCTGGACAAGCTGCACAATCTCAAGGTATCCCCTGAAGAAGGGGGAACAGTAAACTGCTTCTGAGTGTTTCTAAACCTGGAAACCCATGAAAAGGGTCGCCATAAGTCAGAATTGACTGGATGGTACATGCTTATGATGATGTACCAGCTTTGGCAATACGACTGCACCTTTTATCTAATACCTGACCCCACAAGACATCAAAACAGGAAAGGTTCAAGAAGGCAGCAGAAGTTGCTATTTCAAAAATCCAGAAAATATTTTCTCCCAAGTGCAGCAACACCAGAATGCTCGTGTCCACATATTTTCTCTACAGAGCATCCATGGATGGTGCAGAAAGCAGAGCTGGCAACCAGAGGAGCTTATTCCCCTGGGACTTAACCTGAGCCATCCCCACCCCTCCCACCACCACCACCACCACCACAGTGAAAACACACAGCAGAGCATGTGGCAGCACTACTGCTTTATTAGGAAGGGTCAACGTGCCTCAGAAGAAGAGCCCCCGCATTCGGCGGCCAATGCCTTGGCGGTCGTAGAGGATGTTAAACTTGTTCACAAACTGGTTCATAGTATTACAGGTCTTCGTGATGGTGCCTAAATACGTCATCAGTCCCACATCATTACATTGCTGAGGGGGAGAGAGAGAGGTGTCACTGAGAGCCCACCACCAGGAAAGCAGCCTCCTGGGATCTCCCTCTGATGTCACAGAAGGAAATCCCTTCCAGCGGCCCTTCCCAAAAGCTGGGGCTCTACTTCAGCTGCCCTTCCCAAAGTAACAGGGAAAGGATGGAGCAGCTTCACCAGGGACAACAACACCAATGTCAGCAAGGACTGTAGTAAACTAGCTTTCTAACAGTTTATAGAGTGGAAGTTGTATGTGAGAACCTGGCTCTAAAAGGCAGCGTGAAGGTAGTTACTTCATAAACAAATAGAACTGTTTGCATTGTTGAAGCAAAGCTATGTTCTTTTCTTGTTTCTTTCTATTTGTCTCAGTTCTCTGATGCTGATGCACTTAATCCAATTCCAGTTTTAGGTCCTGTGGGATACTGAACTTTTAAAGGCAAAAAGGCATCAGTAGAGCCCACTGTAACTTTAGGGGAAGCCCTTCAGCCAGCAATGGCAAACATAATCTTTTCTGCTCCCATCCCACCCTGTTTCCCTCTGCAAAGCCACATGAAAAGCCTCCCCTTCCCAGGTGCTTTACAGCTTCCTTCTCCTCCCTTCTACACTTTGGCAGGTGTAGGCTAGTTCCCCTTCATGCCCTAACACTCACGTCATAGAAATCTGTCTTGAATTTGTCAGTGCTCAGCACAGGCAGGCAGTGACAGAGAGCATACGCCTCACGTAAGATCTCATGGTTGAACGGCACCTCACCTGCATGGAAAGACATGGGAAAAACAGGTTGAACCCACCTCCCCACCCCCAAAAAGAGGGAGCCTGTATGTCACTGAATCCACAACATGCTCTCACCAGCTTCAGAAGCTTTAACATATTCCAGAATGAGTTTGACACGGCTGTGTAGCATCTTAATGGCACTGTGCTGGGCAATGAGGTGCTCGGCCACTAGCAAGAGACATGCAAGGGGAAGAAAATCAAGTGACCAGTCTGCTGTGCACCACCTGAAACACACACTGTACCTGGAGAATGACAGAGATCACCTGCACACCAGACCAAAGGTGAGCCTTCCTCATAGTACCCAGTTTAAAGAGCCCAACACAGGATCAGCAAAGGCACAACTCTCACTCCAGCTCCTGCTGCCTCTCAAGTCTCCCTGCTGATCTCATACACACTTTCCTTCCCTCACCTGTTGAATTCTCGCCACTGCCAGTTGCTGTCATCCGTGCCACATGGTCCACCCCAATGCGCTCTGCCTCCTCAGTAGCCAGTGTGTATGTCAGCTCTGCAAACAACATTGTGGCCTAAATGTAAACAAAAAAGAGGAAGAGATTCGAAAAACATGGCACAACCTCTTCCACACAGATGCGGTTGGCAAATGCCAGGCAAGAGGCAGACTCCATTTCTTTTGCTGAAATAATGTTTCTTCTATCCAGACACTTTCAATGCAAGCCTTACAGACAGCAGTCCATGAACAAGAAAATATTGCTGTGGTTGTCCAAAGCACCAGAGGTGGTGGCAGGGAGAAAATGGGGCAACTGCCAAGAGCCCCAGGAAGCCCAAAATCTCAAACAAAATCTAATCCGCCTCCAGAATAATTAGTCAATTTCAGAGCTGCCTTTAATTCACCAGCTGTGAACCACATGGTTCTTTCCCTCTACAAAAAACACAGGCAGGCAGGGATCTCCTGCCCTTGCATCTTAAGGTATATCCATAACCCCAAGCTTTGCTTGCAGGCAGAATGTTATAACACTGTTTTATATCTTCAAGAAGCCCCAAGCTATGGCCCCAAACCCAAAATACAGTGGTGCCTCGCATAGCGAGGTTAATCCGTTCCGAATTAACCTTCGCTATGCGAAAACATCGCTAAACGGAAATAAAAAAGCCACAGAAATGCATTGAACTTCGTTCAATGCATTCCTATGGCTTTAAAACTCACCGTTAAGCGATGTTGTCCCATAGCGCCGCCATTTTCGCGCCCTCGGTAAGCGAAGGCAGGGCGCGAAAATGCGGCGCGGACCTTCCGACGGCCATTTTGGAACCGCCGATCAGCTGTTCTCCCGGCTTTGTTATGCGATATTCGCTAAGCGAAACGCTTAGCGAATATCGCAAAGTGAAAAATCCCCATAGGGGCCATCGCTGAGCGAATGCTCCAGCGATGGCCCAGAGCGCCTCGTTAAGCGATTTCATCGCTCAGCGAGGCGCTCGTTAAGCGAGGCACCACTGTGCACCAATACCCAGTACCCCAGAATGCCAGACAGGAATAATGAAAGTAATGGGAATTACCTCTCCATTGATGATGTCAATCACTGACTCAAAGACACTGACAGGTAACTGAGGGGAGAAAGAGAAAAGCAGGCAACAACAGCAAAGTCAAAGACTCTCTCCTGGGCACAAAGTTGTGGGTACCTGAAAGAGCGCAGGTACTCACGTCAGTGTGCTTGGTCATGGGGTTTAGCTTTAGGAAGAGGGGGCTCTCGATGATCTCACACACCTGAGGAGAGGAGAAGGTGTCAGCAGTGGTGAGAGAGAGGTCTTTGTTTCTTTCTCATGGGACAGTATGAAAAATGGCAGAAGGAGTTGGTGAGCTGCATCCATGGCCTCTGCCCCTTTTCCCCACAGCTTGGGGGGGGGGAAGCTCCCCTGTACCAAGGAAAGGGAGGGGGGAGAGGCTCTCACCTGCTTGTGGACATGGATGTCAGACTGGTCGGGGGGCCCACCTGTCGTGTACCAACCCAGGAACTCCAGATCCTTGAAGACTTGCTTAACTGTGGGAAAGGGGAAGAAAGCCCAGGAGGCCCAAGGTGGGTGGGCCTCTCTCTGGGAGCCTGACCTCCCCCCAGGCCCTTCTTTTTTTCAACGCTCTCCAGCCCTGCCCTGCCCCCTTGCCACTTACACTGCTCCTCCTTGGTGTAATAGTACTCTTTGTCGATGACCACGTTCTCCTCCACGGTGTGGGAGAGCAGCTCGAAGGAGTTCATCACCTCGATGTTGCGCCCTTCCTGGCGCCCGATCAGGGCCCCGATCACTGCAAGCGGGGAGAG